ATTATTCTTGAATGGCCCATTATTGGCCCAATCACCAAATCTCAATAGAAAGGCCCAACTTAAGGCCCAAGTGAAATTAGGGTTTTCACATGAAATGACGATTAGTGGTTAAGTATTTATTACTTAACCCATTAAGGACTTAATCCATTAAGTCCAATATTGCCTTAGGTTAATTGCAGATGGTTATTGATTAATATTTTAATTTAGTAAATGGTTCTAGTGCGGGTCCCGATCAATCCAAGGCCCATATCTCCAAAATTAGGGTTTTCAACCCATCACAACCCAATTAGGCCCAATAGCTAAGTCTTTGGATCAATTAGGGTTTCCTTAGGCCCATTAGGGTTTCATTGGGCCCAATAGAGTTTCATGCATCTCAAATGAGGTCTAAACGTAATCAAAGCACACTGCCACCCAACACGGCGGCTGGTGGCGGCAGGAGGCGGCAGCCACCACCCTACGGTGGTGGTTTGAGTTTTCTTATTATTATTCATTTACCGATTAGATCATACAATGCAACATCTCAAATAACACACACACACACACTAAAAATACACGCATACAGCCACCTAATGATGGCCGGCGGTGGCGCATGGCGGCAACCACCACCTCACGGTGGTGGTGGTGGCTGTTCTTCGAGAATTTCGGCCAACGAACTACGCACAACAAACACTACAACAACACACACACACAACGTCGGAACACGCATATCCATCGCCGAAAACGCACCAGTCTCGGCCACCCCTACGATGGCGTGAAGCAGTCGAACGGAAAAGCAGCTACACAATACTCATCGGAACCACAGCAGCGTCGCAGCACCGGACAGAAATGGAGAAGGACAAGAAGAATACGGTAGGGAGGTGTTCGTCCGACATCCGAACAACAGCAACGACCAGGCTATCTCGAACCTCCACTGCCCGTGACTGGACATTGACTTTGCAGCTCACACTTTGCTGTTCACAGCGCAAAACCTGATCTCAATGGTCCCTGTCGTTCACGGTGTTGCCGGAAGCAAATGGAAACCTGGTCGGATCGGAAAAAGGAGAAGAAGGGAGGTGGCAATGGAATATTTCGGTTCTCCTTCGGCGATTTGCGACCTCGACAACGGAGTAGCGGGCGGCAACAGTGGCGGAACAACAACGTTCGTCGACGAGGCAGCCGGTGGAGCAATAGCGCTACGGCGGCGCTTACTGCGGCGGTTGAAGAAGGAGAAGAAGAAGAAGAATGGTGGAGGTTTGGTGCCCGCTTAGCGGCCGCTAGCTGATCGGAATGGGTGGCGGCGCCGGTTGTGGGAGGCATAAGGGTGGTGGTGGCGGCTGCATTCTTTCCTAGGGTTAGGGTTTAGTGGTAACCGGCAGTACTAAGGCTATATACTCGTAACCTAACAATCTTATTGCCATAATGCCAAGATCAGCCCTCCCTTTCTCTTTTTCTTTCAAACTTAGACCAAAATTTACCATTTAAACCCCTGATTCCATAAATCTTTATAAATCCAGAATTTACATTTTATCCCTTGCTTCCATAATTCCTTTCATATTGAGTCCTAATTGTTACCAAGCAGCCCCTGTTTTCAATATTACTTACAAATTTAGTCCAGATTTTACACTTTAATCCCCGCCTTCTAAAATTATGACGGTTAACTCCTCGAGACCAACACCTTGCTATATAATTATTAATTTTTAGGGCTACTATCCATTCATTAATTTGTTTATTTATTTATTAAATAAACGGGGTGTTACAAATCAAGGATTAGAATCTTTCCCTATTTCACCAAAATGAAGAAAATATGGGATGAATTAAGAATGATTCAAGAAATATCCAACTGTTCATATGGAGTTGCTGCTTCGATTAAGAAATTCATGGACGAACAACGTCAAGCGACCTTCAAGCTTACAAGATACAATCGTTTTCTTAAGTGGATTCTTCAAAAATCGAAACCCCGGAGGAATTGTGTATGATGAAATCACAGTCTGAAGAATCATTTTCCTCAAACAATCAAGCAAGAATCGATTTTCAGAACACATGTGCAAAGAACACACAGATATTAACTGTGAAGAAAATCGATTTCTAAAATTGTTTGTTGAATACGAACCATTCAAAAGCAATTCCTTAAATCAAACCCACCCGATTTATTGAAATCGAATCCTCGTCTATGTCAAACATTTCAAAACTCTGATGTACACAAACCTTTTGAAACCCACACGTGCAATCAAAATCGAAATTGAAACCCATCAAATCGATTCTGATGAACTCTCGCTTCCGATTTGCAATGAAAAATTGAAATCAAAATAATGAAGAAAAATAAACTCGACCGATCGATTTCTCATGAACTCTCATTTCTAATCTGCGATTAAGTAAGTTGTGTGAGAGAGAGAGAGATATGGAAAAGAGGTATAATTTAGTCAATCAAATGAGATGGTAAAGAAGTCACCGACTTACCTTTTCGTTTATTAAAAAAAAGAACTAATTAGACCTGACACAAACAACTTAATGCCCCCATAAAGCAACAAAACAACTTTAAGGACTGATTCGACATATTCCAAAAACATTGTTGGGTTAATGTGTCATTTTTCATTTAAACAATACATATTTTTTTGAATAAAATGCTAACATAACTATTATGTATTTTTACTGAGTTAAATTATTATAATTAGTTTGATCTTCTAATGCAACAAATAAAATATAAAATATCATTACAAATTAGTTAAACTTAGTTAAATAAGTATCTAATTACTTTCAATAAAAAAACTTATAAATAAAAACTAACCTAAAATATATTGCTAACACATGTTTTTAGGGCATGTTTGGGAAAAAAACATTCAATTTTTATTTGAATATAATTATTTGATAAATATATTTGTGAGTTTTCTAGAAGTGTAAAATTATATAAAACAATATATGAATAGCATGTCATGTTTTTAAGGCCTATGAGACCATGTGTGCCTTAACCTATCTATTTTTTTATTTATAAAAAGTTATATGCTACTATCTTAAACCTTAAAGTTGGTGATATATATATATAATATATAGATATATATAGATATATATATTATATATAATATATATATATAGATATATATATATATATATATAAAAGGTGAGGTTCAATAGAAAAACCATAATTAACCAAGGAACCAATTTTTTTTCAACTTTTAGAACTTATTTTTTATCAAAAAAAAAAAAAACCAAAATAAAATACATAAATTCATAACTTTTTATCCTTTTTCCAATGATATCAATTTCGATTTTTTTTATTATTTTTTACGTCAAATTCACAATGTGAATCTTTGAAAATTCACAATGTGAATCCGGATTCACACGGTGAATCCGAAAAATATTTTTCACATTCATAATGTTAATATATGAATTTAGATATTTTTAGATTTTTTTTTCGATAAATAATAAGTTCTAGAAATTGAAAAAAAGATTTATATATATATATAGATATATATATATATATATATATATATATATATATATATATATATTATATATTTATATATATATATGGAAAAGTTCAATAGAGAAGCATAATTATTGGTTCTTCAAGGAACCAAATCTTTTTTTTCAATTTCTAGAGCTTATTATTTATCGAAAAAATCTAAAAATATCTAAATTCATATATTAACATTATGAATGTGAAAAATATTTTTCGGATTCACCGTGGGAATCCGGATTCACATGTGAATTTTCAAAAATATATATATATATATATAATATATATATATATATATATATATATATATATATAGCCCAAATACTCAACTCATTTAAAAAAGAATTGTTTTCAGCAATCGTGTTATTCTCCAAGTCGAACTCCCGCTTCACGATTCACACAAAACACACGCCTCACAAATTGTCGATCAACTACCGCCTGTTACTACCGCATCGTCAAACGCCAAACTCAGGCAGCCTCCCTTCCGCCATCACCGACGACAGCTTTGGCCTCTGTCCTCCCCCCTCCTCCGCGGCTCAACCTTCCAAATCATAACAATTTTTATATTGTTTCATTGTTCATACGATAAGGCCCGACCTGCAACTATTTTTTTTTCATTTTATATCGGTTTTAGTTAAATAGTAAACTATGTGGTTTTACTTTTTAGACTCGCCACTAAGCCTAGCATATTAATTTTGTTATAATAGAAAAAAATATTTAATATTTAGATTAATCTTTTTCTAAAACAAAAACTTTAAGTTTATGATATCAAACAATTTTTTTTTATAATTCACCTTTTTTTAAATAAAACAAAACAAAATTCAAACTCTAACTCTAACAAATCACATTCACAAACGCGAAGTTATCTTTTAAAAACCTTCGAACCAAATAGAGGATGTAATGTTGATGTTGAAAGTTTGAAAGTATCCACAATGGTGAGTTTAATGAGAGAGTTAAATGAGGTGACAAATCTTTGTGTCATTCAATAGATGAAACTCTACCATTATGAGATGTCACATTGGCATTCAATGGATTTGGAGTCCAATAGCCATTGAACTCTTCAATGGGAAAAAAATGAATTCTTAAATATTTACTATAAATTACATTTTGTAACATTTTATTGAACTTTGTAGAGTTCAATGCATTGTAGAGAAAAAAAGTAATAGAGTTGTATGAATTGTAGAAAGATGATGTGGTAATCCATTAAACTTTACAGAGTTCAATGGAATGTGGATGCCCACATACCAAAATTTAAAAACTCGACCAACTAAATAAACAATGTAACAAACACTAAATAATTATTTGGTGAAATTTTCATAAATTTCTTACAGAGTAATTATACTTTTATATAACCAATGTGATTTTATATTCATAAGGAATGCTGTTTATTTTTACCGTTTTCAGGAATAAATATTTTTTGGATCTCAAAAGTGTTTTCTAGCTGTTAGAATTCTTTATAAGTAAGAAAACAATAATAAAAGTTGAATGAAAAATCGTGTTTCGAATAATGCATTATAAAGCGTATAAAAAATCGCAATAAATCTTATATATGTACAAGTTTTGCTAATTAGTTTTCTACCCTTTGAGAAAACAACACCTTCTGCACTACTTGGTACTTAGAACGAACTGGCTCCTCCGTAATGGTATCAAGAAACGGCTTCTTTGATCGGCAAACCGCTAACCGATGACTAAACTCCGACACCTCCACCACCAACCTCGGCTGCTCAGCCTCATTAACCATCGCATCACCACCAACTATTGCTTCCGGAGATATCCTTCCTGAAATCCGCTTCGGCGCACTATTAGCCGACATCCAAAACACCGCCATATCCGCCGGCGTCACCATCAAATTCACTCTTCTCATCGGAAACATGATGTATACGTTTCCAGATTCCAGATCTTCGTCAGCGGAGAGAGGCGAAAACCGCCGGTTGATGTTCAACGACCTGGAGTTGACTAGGAAGAAATTGGGGCAATCAAGCATAATCTCGGCTGCCTTGACGGAATCTTGAAACTGCCGGATTTCTCCCGTCGGAAAAATTACTCTTGCTGCTTTGTTGGTTTTCATTCTCGGGGAGATCCCTAAGCTGCAAGCTGAAACGTAGTTACCCATTTGGATATGGAGGGAGAGAGAGAGATGAGGGGAGTGTAAATTTATACATGGAGGATCACATAAATGCGCGTGAAAGCAAGGAGTGACTATTGAGGATTTGTCACGGATGTTGTGCGTGTGGGGCTGATGGTTAAAATGAAGAGGTGGCAGCATGAGTTAATGGTCAAAGTATGGGGCTAAAACCCTAAAAGAAGCATCTATTAATTTCATATGAATTTAATAAAAATAATTCTTGTTTAATCTAATAAAAATAGTTATTGTTTTCATATAGGATCAATATTATATAATTACAAGCATTAATATACAGTTTGTTATTTAAGTTATTTAATTTTAATTGTATCAAGTAGGTTATTAATTTTTTCTTATTTAATGATTGGATTTGATTTCAATCGAGTAAACTGATAATGAATCTAATACGGTATCCACTCTGAAATTCAATATGCAAAAATTGTTATTTTAGGTATACTTGTGACATCTGATATGTTAGAACTACCCTATTGAAATGTATTATAATGGTGTAATGAGAATTAAGAAAAACAGTTACTGACCTGAATACAAAGATAAGTAAAGTAAAAAATAAATTACATATAATTAGTTGTCATTTTATTACATTAACTATTTGTTGTATCACCTCCACCGATAGATTTTGAAGTGATACACGTTGAAGTTAGACAACAAGGTTTAGTTGACAAGGAAGAGTGCGATTGAATTCATTCGTGATTTTAAAGGTGTGAAAGAGCAATTAGAAGAAAAGGAGAGATATATAAGAGTTTCTCAACTCAATGGAAAGAATCGAAGAATCATGTGGGTCAAGTGCAAAACTATAAGAGAGATTTGTAGTGACTAGTACCGCAAAGACATTAACTAAAAGTTACCTGAAATTTGTTTAGAGTTCACGTACACACTGATTAGTTAGAAATTACACAAAACCTAAGTACATTTTTATATGTTAGAAACATGGATATGCATGAATTTTTAACACTAGTACGTAAGTTGTTATGATTTCCATTACTGTTAGTACTTTTTGTATTCATTACGTACGCCCAAAATGATTTAAAATTGACATAAAAACATCACAAACCTATTATACTTGGCATTAATCTTATTATAAAATTATAAGCATTAATATACAGTTTGTTATTTGAGTTATTTAATTTTAATTGTATCAAGTAGGTTACTACATTTTTTCTCATTATATGATTGGATTAGATTACAATCGAGTAATCTGGTAATGAATCTAATATGGTATTCACTTTGAAATTCAATATGCAAAATTTGTTATTTTAGGTCTACTTGTGGCATCTGATAGTTTGAATTACCCTATTGAAATGTATTATAATGATGTAACGAGAACTAAGAAAAAAAATTAGTGACCTGAATACAAAGATAAGTGAAGTAAAGAATAAATTATGTATAATTGGTTGTCATTTTATTACATTAACTATTTCTGGTGTCACCTCCACTGATAGATTTTGAAGTGATACACGTTGAAGTTAGACAATAAGGTTTAGTTGACAAGAGAAGAGTGTGATTGAATTCATTCGTGATTTTAAAGGTGTGAAAGAGGAATTAGAAGAAAAAAAGAGATATATAAGAGTTTTTTAACTCAATGGAAAGAATCAAAGAATCAAGTGGGTCGTGTGCAAAACTATAAGAGAGATTTGTAGTGACTAGTACCGCCAAGACATTAATTAAAAGCTACATGGAATTGTTTGGAGTTTACACTTGACAAAAGTAGCTGGAAGCTTTTGAAATATATAAAATTACATAAAAGGACAATTGATTAAAAATAAATAAATATATAAATATATTTTTAAGGGTAATTATGGAAATTGATTTTCAAAAGCTCAGTAGCATTTTGTTAAACGCTACATGAAGTAGCTTTTAGAATTGGAGCGTTTTGTTTAAACTAAAAGCTAAACGCTCGTACCGCCAAACAAAACTTTTTGTTTAAACTAAAGCGTTTTGTCAAAAGCTAAAAGCTAGAAGCTCCCAAATGCTTCCAAAAGCTCTGTGCCAAACACGCCCTTAAGCTAGGAAAACATGCATTTAATTCGTGTGTATATATGTTTATACGTGTCGCATGTCCTGTGTTTATACATGTGTATATGTATCGCATGTCACACAAATATAATTTGTATTATACATAATTCAAAAAGGTAAATTCGTGTTTGACACTTGTAAGGCACGAAACACATACTTAAAATTCATATCGACATGAAACACGAATTTCTAAAATTTATTGATAGAAAACTCGAGTCGTGTCAATCACGTTGTGTATCAAATTGTCGTTTCTATATTAAACGCGTTACTAACCAAGTTAGATGCTTAATCTTGAGACTTATTTTATTTTCATTTATTAATTAGATAAAATAACAAAGTGCCATGACCGTCGCATAAAAAACTTTTTAACCTACTACAGGCTCGAAAGGAATGAAATAAAGGGTCTTTCTACTAGTCCCTAGATGGTCTTGGCCAATGAATGTTGTTTATGGTCAAACACTTTAGGGAAAATGACTCTTGAGGGTAACTAACCGTTGTGTTTGTTCTCATTTGGTCCATTTCCTTTTTTTGTACTCAATATACCATCGAACTTGTTGTTTGTGTTCTCCATAACCCTTTTGGCCGACTTTTGACATGTGATGTCGGTCAAAAGGGTTATGGTGAACACAAACAACAAGTTCGATGGTATATTGAGTGTAACGCCCCGATTCTCAGGTATTGTTTAAATAAGAATTTAATTGGTTTCAAGGCCTACTCGACGAGTTGGTTGCCCTACTCGTTGAGTAGCAACGGGTTTGGTACGTGTGGTTTAGGACCTACTCGCCGAGTCCATGAAGGGACTCGACGAGTAGGAGCTGGTAGAGAAAACCCTAAATCCCGGGGTTTTGCACCCTATTTAAGGAAGCATAAGCCTCCTTTGGCCTCTTTGCAGTTCTAGAGAGCTCTAAGAAACCCTAATTCGTGTGGTTGCTCTATTGGTGTGTATTAGCTGGGGAGGAAGATCTTTGGAGAAAAGGAACTTGGAAGGCAAGGGAATTGGAGCAAGGAAAGGGGGGGAATCAGAATCTACCTCATTAGCATCTTCCAGAGGTATCAAGTCACCACCTTTACTTCTTTTCCCTTCTAGATCTCTTTTTGGTCGAGTTTGGGGCTTTTATGGATCTTTGAGTTGATAAAGTGGACTATGGGCTAGATATGAAGTTGTAACTTCAGATCTGGACCCTTCTTAAGTCCTAGAGTCATAAAGTTTCTGGTTTGGGCGTGAATGAAACCTCTTTGAGTATGAAACCCCCATTGTAAGCTTGGATTTGACATTAAGAGCCTTTGTAGCTATGCATGCACGTAAAGTTTGCAACTTTACGTGAAAAGTGTTGGGTTTTGAGCATTCTAACACTCCTATGGTGTACATGCAACCCTATAAACCTTGGATCTATGTTTTCTCTATTATACATGCAAATATTAACTATTCCAAGGTTTCATCCTAACTAGCATATTATGAAGCACCTATACTACAAAGTTCTAGTTAGATGACATACCTTTGATGTAGCTTGATGTCTTCAAGCTTTAAGAGCTTAGCCCCAATAGTGTGGAAGCCTCAAATGGAATCACAAATCACCAAAACACCTTGGAAGAACTTGAGAGAATATGTATGCACACTAAAGTCGGCCCACTCTTATTTTCACACACTTGTGCCAATTTTGTGAGCCAAGGACCCCTTTATATATTATGGGTATTAGGGTTTACATGCATGTAACCCTAATACCCATGACCTTTCATTTACATAGGATCCATGGGTTAAAAGCTCCATGGACCATCCATGAAGCTTAGCCCAACCTAAATGAACTTGACCCATTCCATATATATAAGAGTCCATATTTATTAGTTCTTTTTGATCACTTAATTAATTCTAAATTAATTCTTGATCATACTAATAAATAATATGATTCCATATTAATATATTAGAACTTATAATATATTAATATAATCATAAATATACTATTCTCAAAAGACTATCCATATAAATTGTGTCGGTGAAGTGCAACCCAAATGGACCATGCCGGTCGGGTCAAGTACATACCAAATATGTTATAGGACTTAGACATTAATCCAACAGTCTCCCACTTGGATAAGTCTAAAACTATATTGAGTATGACTTAAAACCTAACTGGCAATCGTAGCTCTTAAAGCCTTGTCGTACTCTGACCTTGTCAATGACTTGTCCATTAGATAAGGGATCATATATTCCTCCATTCTAGATATCATATGGACTGAGACATGGATTATAATCATTCTCTCTGTCATTTGTTGTTTCCCGATTTTTCGATTTATGATGAGTGACTGATTGAACAAATCAAATCAGTCCTGGCTTGGCCAAGCACTCACATGTGTCATCGCTAAATCATCGAGGGGCCACAGATAATCGCTTTTATCCCGAAGGTAAAAGGAATGCATAAACTTCGACTCATATGGCTTGTTCTACTACTTGTTGAATCATACACAAAGGCACGTTTTATAACATCGAGTTACCAATGCGTTTTCATGCAATCAATGTATAACCAACTCATAGTAACAACTCATATCTCTAGGTTTGAAGAATATAAGATATTATCGTCTCATGATCACTCGTGATAAAATCCATGAAGTGATTCAAATGAGCGCGTTTTGAATCCAATACTCAGAACTTATGAGTACTCATGAGTGTTGTAGCACCACTTTGTCCACCACTTGGACCCTCTAAAACCAACCCATGACAGTCTTGATTCATATCTACTTCCAACATATGACCGACTGTGGATGGTTTGAATAACTTAATCATTCAGGAAGAGCGACTTAGTTATTCTGGAAGTCAACAATGCAAAGTGAAACACAAGAATAAATGAATCAATATGGTATCAAACCCTGAATATAAATAAACACTTTTATTTATCGCCATACTGATTACTCATTATTCATTGTTTCGTTTTATCAACTTTATACTTGAATTAAAAACACTAGTT